TCTCTCTCTCTCTCTCTCTCTCTCTCTCTCTCTCTCTCTCTCTCTCTCTCTGTATCTATCTATCTATCTATCTATCTATCTATCTATCTATCTATCTATCTATCTATTCATCTATCTCAGTTTCGCAAAAGATACTTCTTGAACTGTATCCCAAAAAGCACACGGGAAGCTTCAAACTGAAGGGTCTATACTAGTTTGACACTTCGGATACGTTCGTGACACGAAATGTTGTGGGTGACTATACAGTGCTTGTCTTTTCCATCTCTCAGCCCTCTGGCGTGCTAATATGTCATTTCTGGCGGGCTTCCTCTCTGTCAATCTCCGGTGATCTCGGATATATCCGAACTTCGGTTATCTGGGAAAATCACATTGTCTTGCTGCTCTTCTGCAACGATCGTCTGAAATGTTTTTAAAAGCGAGGCTGATGATCTCCGCGTGTGCTCGACCCTGCGCCGTCTGTGAGGCGTCTCGAGAAAATTAAGTGCATTCTCTCTGAGACACTCTGTCTCTCGCTCTTTCTGTCTCTTTCTCTTTTTCTATATCTCTCGCTCTTCAAATGTACACGACCATTTCTTGCGGACTTCCTCTGTCTGTCTATCTCTTGTGATCTCGGATACATCCGAGCTTCGCTTATCCTGGAGATTCACATTACCTTGCTGGTCTCCTACAATGATCGTCTGAAATGCTTTAAAAAACGAGGCTGATGGTCTACGCGTGTGGTCGACCCTGCGTCTCCTGAAAATTAAGTACAGTCTCTCTAAGACTCTCTGTCTCTCGCTCTTTCTGTTTCTCTTTCTCTCGCTCTTTCCGTCTCTCTCTCTTTTTCTATCTCTCTCGCTCTATACATGTACACGATCATCGGTGCAGAACTCAAATTCATTCTGGTCCTCACACTTCTAAATAGAGGTCATCCTACTCCTCTTAGTCTGTGAAGAGCCACAACTCGTTTTACTCACAAACTCGAGTTTGTGTCATTATATTGTTCTGATTCGGATGAGTGGGATGCTCAACTCCAAGTGAAACTAGGACACAATGTAATATATTACTTTGTTCTGGTATTACACATCTAGACACAGGAGATATATGTACTGAGGCAGCAGTACATATAACACAGTGGTAGCAGATATATGTACTGACTCAGAGGCGTATAACACAGTGTATACTCTGTTGTGGTGTTCCACATCTGGACACATCCGAACCACAAGAGGAGCGCAACAGATATATGTACTGACTGTGCTCCTCGCCTCAAAGTTGCTTTACTCCTTGTTTGGATGTATCCGGATCTGGAATACTACACCAGACTATACACTGTGTCATAAATTCGTTTCAAAATAGTACACACAATAATGAACTGTTTTAACGAATAAGATGTTGGCAGACTATAAGTCATCATCAAGGGATGCAGATAGCAGTGACGAAAATGATCCGGAAATCCGGAAGC